GATACCGATGCAGACTTAAACTGTATACATGAAGGGTTTATACCAACCAATACTACCACAAGACAACTGTAGGTGTCAGTGTTGTAAATGGAAGTAAAATGAGAGTAAAATATAAATTGCCAAATATACATATTTGCCAAGATAATGTATGTTTTAAAACATCATTTGTCTTAGTAAAAAACATGACTGATAAGGTCATTCTTGGTGTACCATTTATATATCTGTTATATCCTTTTACAACAGATATTAATGGACTAACCGTCAAGCCATTTGGTCAAGAAGTAATTTTTAAATTCTTAACCAAACCCCAAGTTAAAAAATTAAGGCAACTAAATGAGTGTTCAATCTCTGTCCCATAATTTAATAACCCAAAAAACTAATCAAATGAATTTTCTTAAAGAAGAAATTAATCACAAAAGAGTTCAAAAACAGCTAGCAAACCCAATCTTAATAAAAAAGATTGAAGAATTTAAAGCTAAACTGGAAGCAAAAGTGTGTTATAACCTTTCTACAGCTTTCTGGAATAGTAATAAATACATGGTAAAACTTCCTTACATCAAAGGATTTAGTGAACAAAATATTTCAACTAAATCCAGACCTATCCAAATAAACCATGAAGTAATGAAAATCTACAAAAAAGAGATTTCTAAATTACTCAAAAATGGTATTATTAGGAAAAGTAAATCTCTTTGGTCATGTCTTGCTTTCTATGTCATAAAAAATGCAGAATTAGAAAGAGGAACTCCAAGGTTAGTAATTAACTATAAACCTTTAAATTTTGTATTGGAATGAATTAGGTACCCATTTCCAAATAAACATGATTTAATCAAAAGACTTAGTAACTCAGTAATTTTTTCAAAATTTGATTTAAAAAGTGGCTTCTGGCAAATCCAGATCTCCCTAGAAGACAAATATAAAACCGCATTTACAACTTCTTTCGGACATTATGAATGGAATGTAATGCCTTTTGGATTGAAAAATACTCCTAGTTAATTTCAAAAACATAATGAATGAAATATTCAACCCAATTAGTCACTTCTCTATAGTCTACATAGATGACATCCTCATCTTCTCCAGGTCTATAGAAGAACATTGAAAACACCTTAATGCATTCCTAGAGATTGTTAGACACAATGGTCTAGTCATCTCTTCTAGTAAGATTAAGTTGTTTCTAACTTCAGAAAGATTCCTTGGCTATAACATTCAACAGTCAACTATTGTTCCCATCAGCAGATTTATCCAATTTGCAGATAAGTTTTTCGATGAGATTATCGATAAAACCCAGTTACAGAGATTCTTAGGGTCTTTAAACTATGTTGCAAACTTCTACCAGAATCTTAGAAAAACAGTCAAACTATTGTATGACTGACTCAATGGAAATCCTTCTTCTTGGTCTTCAATTCATACATCTATAGTTCAGCAAGTCAAGAAGTATATCAAGACTTTACCTTGTCTTGGTATTCCCTCAGTAAATTCATTCAAACTGATGCCTCCGACATTGACTACGGTGGTATCCTCCTATAAAGAGTCACTCCAGACTCCCCAGAGCAAATTGTTCGTTTTTACGCTGGAATCTGGAACAAAGTATAAGCTAATTATAGTACTATCAAAAAAGAGATTGTATCTATTGTTCTGTGTATCTCAAAATTCTAGGATGATATACTAAATTAGAAATTTTTAGTAAGAGTTGATTGTAAATCAACAAAATATGTTATAGAAAAAAACGTACAAAACATTGCTAGTAAGCAAATTTTTGCTAGATGACAATCAATATTAAGTATTTTTGATTTTGACATCGAATATATTAAGACAGTAATAATTGTATCCCTAATTTTCTAACCTATGAATTTCTGCAGGAACCTCATAACGGATAGAAAAAACAGTAAACTCAGTTCCTCTTCCAAATCCGAGAGTGATACTGAAAAACAATTAATCTTACCTAGCCCAAATCCAAAACCCAGTCAATTGCCTAGCCAAATCTCTGCAATTACAATAGCAAATCGTTACCAAGCCCTTGGTAACCCAGTAAAACCAACCTATCAGTCTTCCCTAGTAAACCCAGGTACATTCCAGTACCAAGCCCAACAAGCCACTCCTGTAGCCCAATAGTTGTTGTACCCATATCAATAGCTAAACCTAACCAACTAGTCAACTCATATATATCCCAGCCTAGTTACAAAAGGTCTCAAAATGAATTATATTGATAAGCCTCCGACCCATAATATTTTCCCAATTGAACCAATCCATACTCACCTCAGTAACCCAGTTGACTTAGTCAATGCCTACCTTGAGCCAGGATGGACTTTTATCCCTCATGACCCCGAGAAAACGTTTACGTTCTATCAAGATATTCTTTTCTTTACCCAATCCATTTTCATTAAAGAAATTCTGAATAGTAAAGATCCTAGTAAAATTATTTATCATCCTTTATATATACTCAAGATCATCTCCCTTAAAGAATGAGGATCTCACCCTTCTTTGTTCCGAGATCTTTTAGGACATAATAAGAAGTTTAGTTACTATGACTACAAAGAGTCATGGTATAAGTTTATCCTCTATCAAAATGAGTCTTACACTCATTCTTGGTTTATACATTTTAGCAAGGATTTCAAAAGCTAGCTTCCTATTTGGTTTTCATAGTGGTGGCAAGTTCACAGGCTTATGCTTGAGATCCTACCACTTGATCTTTAGGATCAGGTGACCAACTTCTCATCCACTTATAAACCTAGTAAACATGAAAGTCAGATCCGAGTCTATTAATATTTATGAAAAAATACAAGGTCCGATGGATATGTAATTGGAAATGGGATATTATAGCAAATTATGTTGTCAGATGGTATCAAGCTAAGTGGTGGCCCAAGTTCCAGCACCAACACATTATTGAACAGGTACAATAGGAATTCCTAGTAAAAGTTTCTGCACTAGTCATGGTTACAGAGACAACCAGTCATGCTCTGGCAACTCTAGTAAATCAGGTTATGCCATCCCTTAATGTTTCCGCTCCAGCTGAATCATCAACACAACCACCACTAGTAAAGCAAAAAAAATTCTCCTTCAAGGATTCCAGTAAGCAACCAAAGAAGAAGTCATCTGAACTCATTGAATTAGCATATAAGTTTCTTCAATAAGTAGTTAGTCAGAGCAGTTCACCTGCATCGTCTCAGTCATCAGCTAGCCCCTCCATGGATTCCTATGCCTAGGATCCCTATGAAGGATGACGACTTAGACATCACTACCCCTTGATTCCCATTTTTATGTGTGATAGTTTCACTCACTATTTTCTTCGGGAAAAAAAGTTATCTATTATACATTCCAATGGAATCAACCTAGCAACAAGACTTCTTTTCAAACAACGCAGTCCACAGTCAACAATCAGATATGCTTTTCCACCGAAAATAGATTCTCAGTCAACATCAGGGACCCACCAGGCCCGTTAGTCAGCATTCACTAGAGTAAAAACATTTCACTCCCACTTTTTCACCGAAAGCAGAAGTGAAAAACAATCTACATCAATAAAAACAGCAAAAAGAAATCATTACAAAGATTCTTTCCGAAATCCTTACGCCTATATAGCAGTTTCATTCATTCTTAGCAAGGGAGGTCTTTTTTAGACACATTACAAGCCAACTAACACTCTCTCCTCTCCCACACTCTCATTTTGTATCTTAGCCTTCGTAATGATGCAAATGAAGAGCTTTTTCTTTAGTAACTTATTCCAGTAATCTATCTATAAGTTAATTTCAGTAACTTGTAATTTCTTTATTTTGTGAATATTAAGATTTTACTTCAGTATTTTCATTCTACATTTATATCTACAACTTGTGATTTATGTCTTCCGCATCTAGTTGTATTTTGATATATATATAAAGACTTGTAACAAACTATGCATGAAGTCCCTCTGCAATACCAAAAATTGAACTTTAATTGTTCAATATTTATATTTTAAATAGTAATTTAATTTTTTTTCTTTTCTTTAATTATATAATTTTAAATTAAAATAAACATGAGTTGTTTAGCATTAGGTCGTGCAGAGAATATGATATTTTTAAACAGTACAAAAAAATATTATGATGAATTTTGTATCATTGAATTCAAATAAATAAAAATTGGATCAATTTTAACTATTATTGTGCTTTTCAATTTCATAACTATAATACTAGAAAGATAATTTATGGTCATAAATATTTGATTGATATCTTGAATAATAATAAAGTAAATTTAAATAATAGGATAAGAGAATTTTTATATATATCACATTCTCCTTAGATGAAAAAAATATATATAATTTGGAAAATTTTAAAATTTTTGTATCACAGATGGATCCCATTTTCTATGGGTAAATTTTTTGAAACATTAATAAATTCCTATACCTTTCCTATATATATTCATTTTATAATTTATATAGTACTTCTCTCATTATAATTAAAGCATCAAAAATGATCATGTCAGTTTACTCAATTTTGCAGACATGAGTAATAATCTAACTTTAATTAAGAGATAATTAAAATATAAAATTAAATTTTTTTAAAATATCACTGATAAATTAAAATTTTCTGTTTCATATTTTTAGGGCTTTTGTTTAAATTCAAGCTTATTTTTTTAAATATAGATCCATTTTTATCATATCTGAAATATAAAAACTTAAAAATTTTAAAAATTAAAAAACTAATTGTACCTAAAAAAAATATTGATAAATTTGTTACAAGTATCAAACAAAAAGATATTTTAGTAATTAATAAGACATGATAACAAAATTTCATTAAGAATATGTATTTGAACTAGTGAGATTTTTTAAAAAAAAAAAAAAAACTACATTAGTATTTAAAAGATTAAAAGAACCTATTCAAATTTGCTGCTTCAATATGTATTGGGCAGCAGATAGATATCTCTCCATGTAGAAGCCAGGGTCTGGTTCATCTTTCCCAGCAATTGCAGCTCCCGAGCAAATTATGTGATCATCATGCTAATGAAGTGCCTCAAGGAAACAGTGAAAACGGTGTTCATAATCCTGATGATCTGTTGGCATACTCTTGAACCAATGCCCCAAACAGTGATGGCCTCTCAATTAATCTAGAAGGTTTGTCAAATTCCTTTGCAAGTCCTGTAAAAGCACAACAACGCCCCAGATCACAAATATATGAAATGTTCACAGCGATACATATATAGCATTGCAGCCTACATACTATCTGCATATAAGCATAAATCTATAATATATAATATAAAATAAGGTAGACTTCAATAAGTTCATTTGACGGTCTCAAACGAACTCATCCTACGGCCCAAAAAAATCTATATGAAAACTACTCACATTGCACCGTATCTTTCGACATGGTTTACGTAACCCATGGTAAAAACATCAAAGAGGGTGCTCTAGTGCACAAGGTTCCCGTTATTGCAAGGTTTGAGAAGTTAGATGTATGCAACTTTACTCCAACATATGTAGAGAAGTTGTTTCCGCAACTTGAGCAGAAGAAAAAACAAAAACACACACGACGGACCAAGCTGATCAGGTTTGAACAGAAATCTACAATTGGGTATGGTGGTTTGATTGATCTAAGATGAACATGAAGCAGTAAATGTGTGTATATATATCAATTGTGATGGCCCACGATATCTATTAGACAGGATTTATAATTAAGGTTATTATGAACTGAGCTACCAATGTCCTTGGAATGCAGCAATGCAAAAATGTATACATAGAGTGCGAAATATACCAGCATCTATAACTAACACCTTGTCACAGTCAATAACTGTGGGTATTCTGTGAGCAATGCTAATAATTGTACAGTCTGCGAAGTCCTCCCGAATGATCTTCTGAATTATAGCATCAGTTTGGGAATCAACAGAAGCTGTTGCTTCATCCATAAACAGAATCTTGCTATGCTTCAGCATAACTCTCCCCAAGCACATAAGCTGCCTCTGACCCATACTCCAATTGTCTCCACTATCAGTCACTAGTAGTATAAAAGTGCAGCAATTGTAAGCCTAAATAGACCAGTGATGTGAAAATCTATAGTGAACAAAATTGAAGGAAAATAACAAATGATGAGAGAGAGACCAGAAGCGTCAAGTCTTTCAGGCTTTGCAGCAACCACATCTTTCAGCTGGCAGCGTTCAAGACTCTAGAGAATAGTGAACATTATCGGTTTATTGACATTAGCTATAGAGTACATAGACTGCCATTATTGCATGAGCTCTGTGCATAAGCACACAATCCGCATAAGAGAATCGGGGAGCAACGAATATGTACCTTCCATATCTCTTCATCAGAATACAACCCAATTGGGTCTATATTGCTCCTTATTGTTCCTTGAAAAAGGACAGGTTCCTGTGGAATGATCCCAAAACGTGACCGAAGTTCATGAAGGCCAAGCTTGCAAATGTCAACACCATCGATTATTATTGTTCCTGAATAAGGCTCAACCAGCCTAAAGAAAACTTGAATCAGAGTTGACTTCCACTGCCAGTTCGGCCAACAACACCAATCTTCTCTCCTCCATGGATGCTAAGATTTATGCCTTTGAGAACCAGAGGAGTATTTGGCCGATACCTAACCTGCTCAGAATCACAGGAAGCATTTTGTCACCAAGGACCTCTAGATGTAGGGGATATAAACATACTTTAACATGAGTCACAGTTAAAGATACCAAGTCTCATTTATCCTTTGGGTGACTTAGACTAGAAATTTCAAAACACTGGTTTATTAATTTGTATTTTAACTTCTTTCTTCCCCAAGCCTCTTTTTCTTTTTTTTTTTTGCACCACAAGACTCATAACAATCACAATGTGTTAGTTTTCACATTGTGGCAAACCCTGGCCGATGGCACGCCTATGTTGATTCCATTTGAAACAACTTTACTGGCAAAGTTGAAATATTATGAGCTTCCTCAAGAAAGCTACAAGTTCTAACTTTCATCAGATAACGTTATCAATCTATAGAGACAGGTATTGTCTACTCGATGAAAATGCTAGCAACACCTCATGGAAGTAGTAGATGTCAATAAGAGATGCCAATAAAAAATCGGATTAGTTACCTGCAAGTCTTTTATGTCAATGTCACCACGATTGGGCCAGTTGGGAGAGGGAAGTGAACCAGTCAACTTCCATTCAACTTCTGATGGGATTCTAATGAACTGTTTGATTCTCTCAACGGAAACCATTCGATTCTCCAAGATACAAGTCACATATATGGTCCAAAACAGCGAAGAATTCAGTCCCAGGCCATAGGAAAGAGACAAACCAACATACTCTGGCATGCAAAAACATAGTCGGTGAAAAAATGATTCCCAGCTTAGATCCTAATGGATGTGCTTAGTTTCAGGCATAAGAGACAACATAAGTAAAAATCAACATGAGAGGGAATTTGTTGATCAGATTGCTATAATTGTCTGGAACACAAATGTTGTAGAGAAGAGGGTTATCTTTTAAAAGGTTAATTAGTGCAGTAAAACGCAACCTGGCCTCACAATAGAGCTTGGCAACACAATCATAAACAAGGTCGAAGTGCAGAGGAAAGCGGCCCCTAACATTTCCAAGCGGAACCCCAACCACTCATTTGATGCATTGTAGTGGAAATCCATCTGTAGGTTTTCATTGACCCTGTCAACATTTTCTTGGGAAAATTTGTTCTGCTTCTTGAAGCAACGTATGGTCATGACACCAGAAATGGTCTCCGAGAAGTGATGGATGACTGGGGCTTTAGTGATTGAACTAAGCCGGGTTAACTCGCGAGATGTTGCAAGGTAATATCCCTGCACAGCCAAAAATAAAGAAGATTAAAATAAAAATTACTTCATACACCCAAGTGTTTGTGCAGTTCCAGTGGCATAGGCTGGTGTGTTTGTTTTGACAAGAATGCACAGACCGGTAGGTCATAAGCCAAAAACAAGTGCAGCAGTGAAATCACTGGCTGTCCTTAAGATCCAATTCCAGACCATACAACATATTGACTGAAGTCTTGGATATTTAATTCAAGAAGAAAGCTTCCATAAATTGGATGGGTTCTGGCACAAACACATTGTGTTTTCATTCCAAAAAGAGGCCTCCACTGTAACTAGGTAAACATGAAATATGTGAAGCACAGCATAAAATCATTTGCTTAAAAAACCATTTACAGACCATCCAGACAAACAGGATAGAATCTTTATACTTTTTTTGTGAAGAAAACACACTAAAAATAGTGAATGAAGAATTCTGCTCAGTTCTGTCATAAACACAGCATGAGATTTTCTGCTATAGACTAACTTTTTTATAGACAGATATGTTACGACATACCTTGTACCAGATATTCAGCCAAACCATTGGGAGTAAGAGGAATACTGTTGGCCAAGCGTACTGGCAAGTAATGATCACAATACCAAGTAATCCAAAGTACATCAAAATTGTCATACCCAAATATAGGGGAATTAAAAAGTCAATGTTGGTTTGATCTGTTGATGCCTGAAAATTGATTATCAGTCCAGATACAGTCATTAAATAATTTTTGCATCAGTTCATTGTTATAAATATTTACAGGTACTAAAATAGAAGATAATAGAACTCACACGACTTAATATTCTTCCTGAGGGAGTAGTGTCAAAGAATGACATTGGAGCATGCAGGATGCTGTTCAGAATTTGATTGAAGAATATCTGAGATGTCTTCAGACCCAAAAATGTTACAAGGAATGCTCTAATTAACACCAGTACACATGAAACCAAAGCTATTATTGAGTATATGCTGATAAACAGAGAAGGGTTGAAAATTTGTTCATCTGAAGTCTCGTATGCTAGCCAGTAGTCGCTTGCCATACGAGATGACTGCCACAGAAAAGAAATCAGTATCACAGCTGTCACTCCCCACCACCCAAATGCCTCGGTGCAATATTGTTTGTACACATCTAAGCTGACTTGGCCAGTTTCTCTTTCCTCATCTTCAATGAGTTTTGAATTTCCTTTTTGAGACTTTGATCGGTCTAAAGACCTATTTTCACTAGTAAGTTCCCTTGGGCTTGAGGAGGCATGAGGTGATTTTGGTGTTTGTTGTGGGTTGTCAACAGACATGGTAGTGTTCATTTCTACAAGTTCCATGGAGGTTTGATGGGCAGCCACAAGTTCAGCAAAATCCATCCCATATTCAAGAAGCTCTTCATACCTCCCAGATTGCACAATTTTCCCATCTCGCATGACCTGGAGTATTGTAAAACAATATAAGGAGAGTAATAAAAAGGATTTTTGCAGTGCAGTCAAAGTGGTGCCTCGAGAACTATGTGACTGTAACCTTTTATGAAAAAACTTACGATATGTATGAGAGTGGAAAGTGTAACAATTCCAAGCTTATGGAATTACTTGCATAGAAAATCGAACACATCTAGACTGTGTAATCTCGAATGCCTTTGTTTCCCCTGATGGGCTGATAATAAATGCCAATTTATTCTTTCATGAAAAAAACTATTTTATGTATACCTAAACACACTCTAACACATTTAGTTAAAACTATGAAAATATACTTGGCTATGTACAAGAATGATGCAATGATGTTCGGAATCAGCATCTTTGGCTGAGAATTAATCCAATTGATCAACTACTATGTACTGTGGTAGAGCATTCAAAGTGCATTCATCATTTCCAGTTATGACCACTATGGTAAAGTTATAAGGTGGAGACCAAACGAAGAACCATACTTACCAATATAAGATCGGCATTGGGCAACAAGTCAACTTGGTGGGTTACAAGCAAAATTGTCTTATCTTTCAGTGCTCCTCTCACACATTCCTGCAACAACTTAACAAAATTAGTTTCCTAAATTTACCTTGTTAAGAAAGTACATTATAGTTTTTAAGGCAAAAGAGATGTCGGAAAAAAAAAAAAACATTTGTTCAATTAATGATGGAAAATGTGCATATTCTGTGGGCAGACCACATCAAAGTCTAGTCCCCACTATATCCATATGATCAACTATTGTCCAAAAGAAGAGTAATGGGTCATTATAACTCAATGCATTTGACAGTATTTTTAGAATTTGAAACATCCAATGCACACATCAAATATTATCACTAAAAAGTATATTTGCTGGTAACACTTAGTTATAGCATTAACTTTGTGGTGACCTTGAAAATTTCTGATCCAGTTTGAGCGTCAACAGCGCTAAATATATCATCAAGAAGATAGATGTCACAGTCCTGATATATGGCTCTAGCAAGTTGTATTCGCTGCTTCTGACCACCACTAAGGTTGATTCCACGCTCTCCAATTTCTGTTCGGTCTCCATGATCCATAATTTCCAAATCCTTCTCCAGGCTACAAACTCTTATCACTTCCTTGTATCTTTGCCTATCCATCGGTGAACCAAACAAGATGTTTTCTTGAATAGTTGCATTCTGTATCCAAGATGATTGTGCCACGTAAGCTGTAGTCCCACAAACTCTGACCTGCAGATAGAAAAAGGAAATGTCAAAACTACATATTTGTAACATGAGTAACAAGGAATATGAGAGACTTATCAATCTGTTTTGAGTACCAAATAATGCCAATTGGAGAACACAGAGTATATTAATCATTTCTCAATAAAAGGTTGAAAGGTTCCAGCTTGATTGTGTTATCTCCATGATGCACAATTATAATCATCAGATCAAATTTCCAGATAGTGTAGACAGGCAAATATTAAATGCATAGAAATCCAATACTTGGGTCTAAAAATTAATCAAAGAGGACCTAAAGTAGGCCGACAAATGAGTGAATTCAGATCGAACTAAGCATTACTCATTTCTTCATCCTAGCCGGTGTAGTTCAAAGATGTTTAAAGGTAATAATGATTGAAAAGACTGGCCTTGCTTAACAATTGCCAGCTAAATTGCTCTAGGTTTTTAATGAAGTGAAGGTCACAATAATGAGTAATGGATTAAATGTATCACTATATAGAAAACTAATGAAAAACTACAATTTTCATATGAAGCTTATGCTGTACCAAGCTACTATTACTCAGCAAAGAAAAAGCCAATGTCATGTGAAAGTAAATTGGCATCATTCCTCAATATTATAGGGGAAAAAAACGCCATACCTTGCCTGAAATTTTGTGCAGCTCACCAAGAATTGAAGCCAATAATGAAGACTTCCCTGATCCAACAGTTCCAACAATCGCAGCAAGCTCCCCTTTTTCGATCTCAAGATTCACATCTTTCAGAACCTCCCCACTGCCTTCGTCATCCCACGAAAAACTCCCATCTTTCACCTCCACTGCAATAGGACCATCACAGCCTTCCTCTCTCTCCACCGATACATCTTGAAGATCGCGACTTGTCAGGTACCTATCCAACCTACCTAATGTGATCATTGTTTGTGAAATTGAAATAAGAGCCTGTGGAAAGTTCCGGATTGGATCCTGTAGAGTTTTTAATACTGATGTTGCTGTGAACACTGTCCCAGCATCAAGAGGGACTCTCAACAAAACTGCAACCGCAAATATAAGAGCTGGTATCACAACAGGGGTGATCCAGAGCACAACCAAGTTGCAAGAAATCGAGTACATGAACTTGCTGAGCCAGCCATACTCCAATTCACGAAAACCTCGGATTCTCTCATAGAAGTAGTTCTCCCATGCTTGAAACTTGATCACACGCATATTGTTAAGCATCTCTGTTGTTGCCTTCATCCTCAAATCGCGGTTCATCATCACACTGTACTGTAATCTATTGTTCCTCCGGGTACGCACCAGAATGAAGATTAAAACTGCAATGACTGCTATCAATGCCGCAAACATTGAGACACCCATGTAAAAATATAGAAGGGCTAACGCCACACCAACTTGTAATGGCATCGTCCATACCGAGTGAAGCTGCATCATCATGTCAGAGAGCTGCTGGGCATCAACAGCCATATAATTCACAATCTGTCCTACCCCATGAGCCTGCCTGGAGGAACAAGACAATGTGAGGCCTTTCCTATACAAGGTAGTGATGACACTGGACCTAATAAGCATCCCAAGGTTCTGAGAATAGAAATTGAAGTGGTGTGAACTGAGGACTTCGACAAGTTTAGCAATCAGGAGGATTAATATTAGATAATATCCTTCATATGGGTTGCTGCTTTTCCCAGATGTGAAATCTGTAAAACTCTGGATTAGGACTGGACCAACATACATGACAGCCACTCGCAAGAGGGCAAGGAAACCAGTGAAGGCAATGTCCTTCCAGAAGCATCGGATTAATGTGGTTAATACAAGGTTTTTCGACTGCTCCCCCGGCTTTGGCCAATTGGTTTCAAAGAGCTCAGCCATTCTTTCAGCCCGATACTGGTGGGCAAGCGTAGGGACTTCATCTATCTTTAGAGGGGCTTTGTATCCCTTCTTTATCAATGGATTCATCCAAAGCCATACTGCTTTTGACAACAAAGAAGCCTTACCATAGCCACTCACATCAGACTCTGTCAAAATGGGTTCATACCCTTCTGGTCTCAAGTTTCTACCTGATTCAGATTCTCTAATCACACTAATCCCAGACGAACCCTTAACAGCAACAATGAAAAGAAAAGCAGATAATGGAATAGTAGCCAAGAAAAATATATCATCCATTCTTACAAATTGATTCATATCTCCACCATTAGAGATCAGCCGTACGATAGCCCCAGCAGAGAATAAGCACAATACAATAAAATTTGCAACCCAATATATTCTAAGGGACAGAGGATGAAAAATAGCTCCAAACTTTTTCTCATGAGCAATAAGAACCAAAATTACAACTTGGGTTATTGCTTGAACTAACCTGAACAAAGATTCTCCTATCCGCCATGGTGAATTGACCCCTTGACTGAAGGCTAATATGCAGATAACCGCATAAGATATGCCCAATAGAGCTGTGACAAGTAGAGATAGGTAGAACCAACGGCTGACTCTAAATTGAGACTTATCAGTTCCAAGAAGGTGTTCATTAATGGAGGAGCTGGTAGTGGTAGTGTCCTTTGAGGTTAACTTGGAAAACAGCTTTTGGGCTCCAAACAATACGAGGGTGAAGAGCAAAAGTAGGTCAACTGATGACCAGAGGATTCTTTGGGTACAAGGAGAGAGAAAAATGAAGCCTACCCATTGGAATACAAGTGAAAGAGTGTCTGAAGATTGATTGATAGAGGGAGAACATTCAAGGGATGAGAGCCATGAAGCTGTTGCCATGGTTACCTAAAAGAATGAAGAAATAGAGTCTCTCACACTTGCTGATGGGAGCTCTTGCATGTATTCCATGCATGTAATGGAGTTGACTTTTACAATAAGAAAAATGTGTGAAATTATGAACATGGAATGAGGAGAAGTTAAAGGCAAAGGAGTATCTGGGGACACGAGTTGGCAGTACTCATGTCAATCCGGCTGATTTTGCTCCAAATTTCTGGCATGTACTGAATCACTTTTGATTTTCTTTAATATTACCAACCCACTTGACTTGACAACCTGCGTCTTATCATACACTAGCCCCTGAAAAAAAGAAGCATAATAACAAACAAATCAGCACCAGAAGAAGAAGAATCATCATCATCTACTGAAACAAACCAAAAAATGAAAATCATCCACCTGAAAAACCCTTCCTTTTTTTTTTTGGTTTCTTTTAACTGTGAAAACCCAACAGTTGGAGAAACTGAATACAGAATGGAAATATATGAGATTGATTACCTTCTATTGCATTGTGATTTTTTGGACCAGACCCACCATACTTTGAGTGTGAATTTGCAAACAAGAAGGGAGAGAAAGCAGCAGCTCTGCAGAGAGACAAAGGCATCTTTGTGAAACTATGGACACACTTGGAGACTGGAGATGAAAAGTTGCTTTTGGGACGGTAGTTATGATTCCTTATACTGCCATTGTTTGCATTTAGCTTGTAAGAATAGAAAATTGCTGGTACATTATATTGCTTTTTTTAGTACGTTGTTCATTCCTATAAGTTTCATAATGATAGATACGTATCTTGTGTTAGTTGAGCAGACTACGTGTAATTAGTTATATTTTTGAATAAATATATGCAGGCCTGCATTCTCGTGCCAAGGCGTTTAAATTTACTCATTTATATTTATTTTTTAATACATAAAATAGATAGACCGACAAATTATTTCATATATCCGAGATCTCACCGCATCTATATCGGGCCAAAACTAAGATTTTATCGTGTACTAAAGTATAAGTTTAACCTTAATGAGCTACCGTGTAATCACTATATCAGTGGTAAAAATATCAAAAAATGTGGTAAACATACATATAAATATAATAAAAACGTCCACAAATGTAGTAAAAAAATTTTATACTAAAGAAAAGTGATAAAAGTTATTACCCCAAATGTGATAAAAAAAACACCTACAAAAATAATAAATCACTCACAAAAATGATAAATTTTTAAGTTATAAAATGAACCACAAAAATTATAAAAATATTTATTAAAAAATTAAAAATAACCCATAAATATAATATTTTTTTTTTCAGTACCGTGCTCAAGTCCCTAGTTTGTAGGTTGTGCCTATTAGAGACTGTACTAAGCTCACTCTGCCGATCAAAACAAAGCCATTACTCAGCTAACTTTCAAAAGATAGTAGCTTATATAAAAATTAGTTGAGAGGCAATCGTGTATTGTGATACTGCATTGAATAGACCCTTGGAAAACGTTATTTTTATTTTATAATAAAAAAATCTTAAAACTTATAATATTTATATTAAGACAATCCAATTTTGTTTTAGAAACTGAATTTCATAAAGTTTTAATCTCCATTAATAATATGTTTTGTTTCATTTTTTATTTATTCAAAAATTATATTTTTCATAGCTGTAGATACTTGAAATTATAGTTATATATACGGGACAGTCAATTGATCGAATTTTGGTCCAATTTTAATCTAAATTTGAGATTGACTAGTCATTATTTGGTCCAAATATAATTTGATGTATTATGTATATAAAAATATATATTATGCAATTCAATGATTAGTTGATGAAATTTTAGTTAAATTCATATTCAATTTAATAAAATCTAGCTCAAATATATTTATTGGATCAATTAAGATTTTTAGTTCCGAGTCTAATTTTTAATGATTTGAATACATTGTAAAACTGAAAGTCTTTACATATTTAAATTAAATTCAGGTCAAAATTTGTTAATCAATTTCTAATTCAAATCAAATTTATTTGATTTGTTGATAAGTCATGCATAGAACACGTGTTAGCCCAAACTTAAATAACATTTTAATGATTTAGAGCCAAAGGGCAAAAATATAATAATAACACAATTACGACTTCACGAGTACAATATCATTTAAAATAGAACTTAATTTTTTTTTAATAAATATTATACATTTTAATGGCTTTTTGTACTGAAAACTAGGAGTTATTTCTTTTTTTTTTTTTTCCATAAAATTTGTTAAATCATCTATCAGATACTCCAATTTCGTAGATGTCATTTTAAAGTAATTGTCAAAAGTTTTTCATAAAATTAATCCATATCCTTATGAATCTTCTTTGGTCTTTCTTTTGGGTTTCCCAAAATAGAACATATTGGCCTTATTCCCACCTCCCCCATCCAAATTTGACTTCAATAGGTTGAAAATGTTGTTTCTCATACATTTGATGTTTTTTTTATGACATTTAAGAGGCCATGGCACATAAAAGGTGAGGGTGGCATTTGAGCACTTCAATAATTAAAGATGATTGTTTATTTTTTAGAACTACGATAAAGAAAAGATTTAGATCCTTTTTGACACATTTGCTCTTTACTTCTCTCCTTAAAGGATCGTTCACTCATTCATATATAATGGGTCTCGCTTTTCAACATGGTAGGTGATCTGATAAAAAATAAATTAAAAAAAATTAGAGTGGAACAAACACTACAAAGTCGCAGAAAAAAAATCAACCATTAATAACTTACACGTTCGGTTGAATGACGAAATAAAAGAATAAGACAAAAATTAATAATTTTTAATTTGAGCTTTTTAACAAAAAAATTGAAATTAATGTTTGATCATATTTTTGAGTGGTTGGTTGTATGAGTTGATGGGTCAGGCCAATCAATGTGGAAAGTCAAAGTTATAATAGACCCGGCAGGCCCAATAAAACTTATCGACGTGGCTCCGTCATTAAGAGAGCATCTAAGAGTCTCACTCTCGTCGCCTTGAAAATAGTCAATCCTCACCTTATCTTTGACCGAATCTCGTAGAGAGCACCTCCCCTGTTAAAAAGAAGTCGTGAGCTCCACAAAGACAGTTACTTAGTTGCTATTAAGTCATCCTAATCTGTTAAGGGACGATTACAAGTTGTAAGTCTCACCAACACTTGGGGGGCATAACACTCTCACTTGAGCACAACTCTCCTGTCCCTTTCATAGCTTGTACTATCTGCTCTCCAAATACCCCTGAATTAATAAAGTACCCGACGACCCTAGTCATTCAGAAGTGGACGTAGGTCACATTGACTGAACTACTATAATTCTTGTTTTCTCTCTATTTTAATTACTGCATTTATTACTCATACTTAACAGGTGGTGTACAAACCTATTTTGTGCATCATCAGTTTAGCACCGTTTGTGAGAACGACAAAATTCTCACTTCTAAACACTTCATTTGTTGAATTAATGGTGATCACCACCAGATCCATGAATCATCTTGAAGATAACACCCTACCATAAGAGGAGGAGGTCACTACTCCTTCAACCAATCATGTCCTAAATGCGCAACAAATGCTCGAGACCATGCAACAACTTGTGGCCCAAAATTAGCAGATCCTGCAACTGATGCTTATTGGGCAATGAGGAACACATTTTAGACCTCAAGCTTGAGGAGCTCCACGCCCTGGGCGACAAGGAACTCCCCACATGGGTGCTCCTCATCTGGGCACCCCCTTTGGAGCCCCCTTGGGCACCCCACCTAGGGATGACAGTGGACCGGAGAAAAATGAGTATTCATTAAAACTCGCCCCGTTTGGACTGGAGATGGACTATACGTATTGGACGATGAACGTATACGAAATACCCGTATAAACCTCGAATGGAGATGAAGACGGAGATGGACTTATCTTTATCCCCTCCCCGCCCCTTCCCTCCCCACCCCCGCTACCCGTTATATATATATATATATATATATTTTCAAGTACTAACTAAACATATTTACTGTAACTACCAATTTAGATATATGGTAATCAAACTAACAAGTGGCATTGCTATGTAGTAATCTTATCAACTATTTTCCCTGATTATTCATTTTTCTATTTGTACTCACTGATTGAAACTGTTAGAAATTTCTATTGATCATACTCTAAAAACAGATAAGAGAGAGTAAGATAGTTTTGTATTTCATCGTGGGTAGAAATATTGTAAATGGAAGTTGATGAGTTTTTCTACTATAGTGAACTAAGAAATGAGAAGAATTATTGAATTAGCGAAATTTTAAGTTTTCATCTTTTAACACTTTATGATTGTAATATGAATTGTAATCACAAAAATTCTTCTAGGAAATTTCAAGTGTAATGCTATTGTTTTCTTAGTTCAATTTTATTTTTCTTTTCTTCCTTTCTCTCTAATAGTTCCGTTTATCTTTTTGTGGTCCAATGACACTTTAAATAGAATACTATATTATTTTGGCTTTTACATTTTACTATTTACATTATGTTGTATTAGATTATTTAGAATGTTGTTGGATTATTTAAAATTTTGGATTATGCTACTTGGGCTTAAGCTTAGGCTTGAGTTTGGGCTTGAGCTTAGACGGGTACGGGGAAAGCAGAGACGGGGACGGGGATTAGAAATTTACCCGCGGACGGGGATGATGATAAAAATTACACCTATTAACGGGGGTGGACCGGAGATGGACGGAGTTTTTTTAAACGGGTATGAGGATGAATACTACACTCCCCGCCCCCGTTTCGGTCCACTGACGTCCCTAGGCCCACCCTTGGGAGCCCTATTAGGAGCCCAGCACAAGAGAGCTCCCCACAAGGGACCTCCACCTCCTCCTCCTGCTCCTCCTTCTCATGGTGAAGACCTTCTTTTTCAAGAGGACGAGGGGAGAACCAGAACATGGAGCATGAAAACTATTTCCATGATAATTCCAAAGAAACTCTCAATCACTGAGAGGAGAAAATTAAGGAAATGCAAAATTCACTGGGAGACGTCTTCAATGCCATGAAAGCACAAGGACCCGAGACTATGG